TGCTCGGAATATTAGAAAAACATCCAGGTTGTCCATGCTGGCAAATACTGGACAACCCAGACTTCGGATGTCCTGATAAGGACTTGGTTGTCCAGGGTCGTACAGATTTCAAAACAAAATACAACAACAACGACAACAACAACAACAATATATAGAAGCCCCTTTTAAAGATGAATTCAAAAGGATTTGATGTATACTGAGTAATTGATGTAAACTACGGAACGTGAACACGAAATAGTTTCCACACGCGGTAGAGTTCTAGACCTTTTAATAATTTACCAAAAAAAACTTATTGCGTAAACACACTTTTTAGGTGTCAGTTCGGTTGAAACTTTAAAATATAAACCCAGAAAACTCTGTCCCTCGTAACCGTCATGTTTTCCTTGAAAGCTTTGGAGGCCCGGGTACAAAGCTTCAGTGCTTTGTGTATCCCTACCGGGGGTACACATATCACTAGTGATGTGTGTGCGGGGATACACGTATCACGGGGGTACGCATATCACTGCGACACCGGAGTACGAAAGAGCTTTATATAAGGACGGTTTTTACCTGGTTAATACATGAATAGTCTGAAAGGTGGGGCGAATACTCAAGTAACCATGGTTGACTAATCCGTCAATAGGTTACAATCGTGGCTTTGTTGGCGTGAGAACATGCATTTATGGCTAAGTCGGTATTTGTTTCTCTTCCTCAAGTTTTTCGCCTATTTTGATCGAGGAAAAGCTCATTTACTTCCACCGCAACAGAAACGAGATAAACTTATTGTCTTCTTTTTTCAGAGAACTGATGTTTTCTGAGCTAAATAACCGTGCCTTTTTCCCGTGTGAATATCTAAATAGCGGTTAGTTCTGCAATCGATAGCGTGAATCCGCCTGGCGTAAATCATGCCACAAATTGGCTGTTATGACAAAGACTCAGCCCCACGAGGATTAAGTTCGTCAAGGGACTTTCTTCGGCTTAAACTTTTTTTTTTGCGAAACGAAACAAAACCAGACAAGACAAAACGAAACTAAAGGAATAATGCCAATATATTTTCTTATAAGGTTAAGATAACTTTCACAAAGATTTTGGAGTTATCGTTAATTAATACGAAGGCGCAAAATAGTAATTTGAGAAGAGTCACAGTTTTATTCTTTTAAAAAATCGACTATTTTAACCTATTTTAACCTATTTTAGTACCGAAACAGAGACACGTACCCTTAAAGTTTTGTCAGAGAAGGCAATGTCGCCTCTTGAGAAATTTTTGCAAATGTTAAACACTTGTGTATTTTTATGTTTGTTTGTAAATCGTACATACTAGCTTCGGGAGAACTGGTGTTTCCTGAGCTAAATAACCGTACTTTTCACTAGTTTGAGTACCTACTAAGGTTGAGCGGTTTGTTATGTAGTCGATAGTGAGAACACTTTTTGTAAGCAACAGCTGAATAACAAAACCTTCTATTGTAATTGATAGTGATCACAATAATGAAATCGTGATCTTCTCTGCAGCTTGATGCGGTCGGGCGAATGGAATTTGGTCTCAAATTATGTAATTCTAGGATATGGCACCGGCTAAAATTACGGAAACAACTGTTAAACAAGAAGACAAAGTTTTCACAAACCAGCTGCAGCCGCGGTTAAAATTAGTTTGACATCATATCATCGAGAAGCTTCCACCCTAGTTAGTCCCTCTCTACCAACTATCAATGCTCCCACGACCTCTACAACCTGTCTAGTTTATGGGGAAATATTCACAGCTTGCGATTTGCACCACAGCTTCATGGGAACGAATTTCACTGACCTCCTTAACCATTCTTTTATACGTAAAATTACTATGACCTCAAAGATATTAGAATTGCTATAAATAACAAAAATGTCACTTAAAAGTGATATCAATTGCTATTGTATGACAGCTGTAGCTCGTAAGTTCCATAGTACGCTAGTAGCTTATGACGAATCTAACGCAATAGTAATGTATCTGTGATCTTCACTTTTATCAATTTTTCTCAATTACAATAATTCTAGCCTCAAATTTCAAGTGATATTGCGCCAAAATTCTTACCCTGTAATAATGCTCCTTGGCGTAACAAGAAAAAAAATCTCGTAATTATGCTCTGTTAAATAGTTGACGAGTTATTGACCCATAAAACAAAACCTCGTTGTTAGAATTTTTGGAACACTGTCCATTGTTGTATAGCGGTTAAAAAAAAAAAAAAATTTTTTTGTCATAGAAAGCGATGGAGTGTGTTATGCACGTCCTAAGTCCATGAGCTCTGAGTTTTCATTGAACTTCTGGCAGAAAAAAGTCCTACGAACTAGCGTTATTTTGTATGTGCGGATATTAAAAGATCGTCACGAGAAACGATGAGTAAAAATTCTTTCTGGTGCCCAGATCTTCAATGATAAGATCAAAGAAACCTTAACTTGATCTGCAAAGTCTGGCAATTCATTTGACTTTCCCATACACCGGAAAAAAATTTGAAGAAGGTCTGCAATTCGAGTTAATCCCTTTTTTATGAAGTTTGTCTTCAAGCAGGCCAAGCACATGAAATTACAGAAGTGGTGTGACTGTACGCATGTGTACGTGTTGGATGATAACACGTGAATCATATTAGACAAAGACGATTAGCCATATGAATATAAAAACGAGGTAATTTGCTATTCTGTCGTCTCAGTGCTCTGTTTCAAGAACTTCAAGGGAGTTTTTGTTCTTGTTTAATCATACAAGACTAGTACGTGCTTTTTTAGGCGAATTATAAATCGGTCGGCCTGCAACCCACCCGGCAAAAAAAGCCATAGCTTGTTAATGACTTCCTTCCTTTCAGAGTAATCGTATTGAGTAGGCTATCTTTAAGGCATAATATATAATATTTTCGTTACAAAAAAGGTTGGAAGAATTGCAATGATTCGCTTTTTGTTACTATCATGTGTTATTTGAGTTGTCCCAATGATTCTTAAGAGGCAAAGAAAACACACACACCCTGCGCAGTTTAGTGGTAGTATATTTTACAAGCCTCACTGAGCTACTATTGAAAAACCCTCAAAATTAACAGCTTGATAGCAAGCATTGTTGCAAATAGTTTACAGCCAACATCGCTAACCCAAATATTCAATTTTACTTTTCTAGCATCTTTTATGAGTGAGCAGATGAAAAGAATCGAGGGAGGACACGACAAGAATGTTAAAGATTGGAAGGATTCAGCGATCTGCATGGGAAAGCGTTGGGGGAGGGGTTGGGATTTTTTCTTTCACAGACCCTCTCCTCCCGCCCGCCTTACCGACTCTATCTCTGATTTCGATGTTGCCGGTTTTTACTGTCATACCATCATACAAGGACTGTTCAGATTGCGAACTTTCAGCGGCTAAGTCACTTGTTTTTAACCTTCGTGATAGCGTTCTCGGCCGCCATTTCATATCGTGTCATGTAATTGTAAAAGCTTGAGAATTCAACCTTGCTTTAACACAGGACAAAACACCCTATCAAACTGAACATTTATGAAAAGATAAGCCTTAAGCTGTTCTTTTAACTAAAACCTCAAAGGGATTCATAATTCCTTATTTCTTAATTTTTGAGACGCCACGTGAAAACCGGGAAGGCAATAGTAAACGATCGTCATAACCAAAGACAATTTGCACCTTGTCTCTTGCAATTAGGTAAAAAAATTTTAATCGAATTCGATCATAGCCAGTGGTGCAGGTGCGTTGACGGTGACCGAATGCTTATTACTGGTTTTGTCGCGAAATAACAGACCGCCATCTTGGGTTCCTTAAAGAGGAACACTGGGGACATGAAACAATTTCCCTCCAGGGGGGTGATAGGAGGGCGATAGGCCCGGGGAAGGCGGCGACATTCTCAGCTCGACAAACTTATCCTTTTTATTTTTTAACCATGGTAACGATAACTGAAAAAGACACTTCAACGACTGCAGGCTAGAACATAAACCAAGTTTAAAATATTTCAACAACAGCGATAGACTAAAGTCATTATGAAACGTTTAGGCACGCTTCTCTTGACCTCGCGATTAAAAGCTGCAAATCTGAAAAGTTTATGATACAGTGGAACAAAAACAGCTCAAAGAATAGTATAAATTTAACCGCGGATCGACCCTTGTATTATTCCTTGACCCGAGAGAACCTCATGAATTCAAATGGATTTTAGCGTTTCAGAGGACGTAGACATGCTTAATCATGATTACCCATATTATAAAAGTTACCTGTCAAGCTTCTTATATTCTGAACAGAAAAAATAGGTCGCTATTTTGACAAGTCTGCCGTCAGATTCAAAGCCTTTCACTGCTCACCGACAGCTGCTTCCAAATGCGACTGTGAGCATGACGAAGCGATATCAACTGATCTCGTAACTACAATGGGAACAATGCGACAGCTGCTTCCAAATGCGACTGTCAGCTATGACGAAGCGATATCAACAGATCTATTAATTAGAATGGCGAAACAATGCATCAGCCCACTTTGTTTGGAATTCAACTCATGAGATCAATGCAAGATTAGTTCTGCATATCTTACAATAGAACAAGTCCCACGTAATTCCGCTACAGGGAAACGGAAACGCATCGCCCTCCAATTTACATTTTAATTACTTTTAAAATATCGCGAATTATTCTGAACTTTCAAAAGAATATTCCGCGCGCAAATCTTGCAAAAAACTACCTAAACGATAAAGGGTGAAAGTTTCTGGAGAAACTGTGGTGCTGCGTCGGTGGGGGTAACTAGGTAATTTAGTAAAATCAACTCAGTTGAAATTGTAAATTGGCTACCGTAACGAGTTAAAAAGCCTTATACTTTCCCTTGTCAGGAGTTTATTCTTGAGTCAGTGATATATTGAGAGAAGTAGTGTAATGTATCGGTTGTAAGGAATGTTGAGCGAGTCTGTTGGAGTTTAGTTATGTTGTTTTCATCTTGTCAAACAAATTATGATGATGATCGTGATTAAACTAAATGAGTGGTTTTCCGAAAAACATATGCTGATTCAGTTTGGATTTTTTCCGTTGTTTGGGGCTAGCGTGGGTGAATGTTTATTTTGTTAATACAACTGCACAATAATTTTTACCTTAACGAAACTTGGGCTCGCGAGACGCAGCCCTCTTGCACATGATATTTATATAGAC